TTTATTAAAAATTTAAGCCCTCCTCTTTTAGGGATAATATATTGGAAACCTGCAGCATCAACACAAATCTCTTTAATAATTCATGTGTTAGCCTGGTGAAACACAACATGGACTGTAGCACTTCGGCTTTGTATGCTGTGCTATTTTAAAGAAGGCGACCGTGACCATTTGACCATAAGTTGATGTATTGCAGCTTGGGATGACTCAAACTGCACTGAAGGATTGATATTGGAGTTGATCATGGTGAAGTAGGCTATGTTTTAATCGCTAAGCCCACAACCCTTATCACTGTTGCTATGCCTGTCAAGCTTTCCCTTCTAGTATGGTGCATAATGCAGTTTATAAACATGATTTTTTTAAACATGGGTGATGATTTCACAAAGAAGTAAGCAACATCAGATCTTGAATTCCAGGTGACAACCGTTGATTTAGTCTCCTTAAATTGCAACTGTCACCATCAGATTTTATCAGCCTCAGCTAGCTAGCTAAGTAGTGCTAATTCAATGAGTTGGTTTAAAACAAAGTCACGAGCTGAGTTTTTAATGTTTCCAGCCGACACGTTTTAAAGCAACACAAAGCAAATACTATCTGCACATAGTGGCTACTAGGGCTGCAACTAATGATTATTTTCATTGTCGATTAATCTGTCAATTATTTTTTTCAATTAATCAATTAGTTGTTTACTTTCTACAGTTACCAACTATATCTTATCTTGCAACCTTGTTGTAAAATGACAATAAATTTACCTTGTAATGTGATGAAAAAGTCAAATGTCAGAAATTTATGAAAAATGCTATGAATGTTTCACAAAGCCCAAGCTGACGTCGTCCTTTTTTGTCGACAACCCAAAGAAATTCAGTTTACTGTCATAGAGGAGTAATGAAACCAGCAAATATTTACATTTAAGAAGCTGGAATGAGATAATTTTTCTTAAAAAATGACTCACACCGATTGATTATCAAAATAGTTGATTAATTTAATAGTTGATTAATCGTTCTAGCTCTAGTGGCTACATCGATAAAGACAGAGGCTAAAACTACATGTCCTAAATAAAAAGTAAGCTATCCTTACCTGTAAAGATGAGGACTAGCTAATGAATTCTGCAAAGTAAAGCTACTTCTGGTAATGAGTTAGGCTGTGGTTAGTAGCATTTAACTTCTTCCAACCAAATAAAGAGCAGGGCAAAACTGCTCTCGCTACTCCGAACTGTGATATAGTAGCTTCTGGGCTCCCACACAGGGAATGTTACAGTCCCAAACTGAGAATTTTCTAACATCATTTGTAATCCCAAAATATAAGTATATAAATTATTAGATATACTAACCCTTGGCTTTAGAAGTGTAGATAGTAAGCTGGGCGTGCTAATGTTTGCAACTTATGTTAATGTAGATAAACACACTTTTTAAACCATTCTTTAAACTTTTGTTGTTTTGGTTATAAAAAGGCTAAAAACCAGCCTGTTGTGCCTGGTTACGAGTAATAATCTTTGAATGAACAATTGCTGTTTGGATGACGGGTTAGCGGATGGATAATTGGCTTTACGCATTGTAGTGACCTTTTGCCTCAAAGAAGTCCACCACGGCTGCTGATTGATGTTATTTTAGACTCTTGCAGTAAATGGTGAAAATGTCCAGGGTTTCCAATAAGGGTGCTAAGATCAATAATGGCTTTAACTAGTTTGATTGGTGGTCTCTAAAAAGGCAGATCAGAAAAGCCAATCAGATGATGCAATAGCCTACTCGATGGACACATTTTCAACGGCAGCTAAAATGGTTTCACTGCGTGGTCTGAGCAGTTTTCAAAGCTAGCTAGCACCATTCTCACCCGGTAATCTCCCATTAAATGTTTGCCCGTATATCTCCTGTAGGCTATTTTTAACCTTTACAAAATCAAATAAAAACCTGCTGGCCGTATTTAAAGTGTTTGCTACTCTCTCCTCTGGTAAAGCCGGTGGCAGTAGGCCTATGTTAAAGATGAAGAAACTGCTTCTTGCACAAGGATTTAATAAATGAAAACAACCCACTGAATAATATTAGACCTATACTATTGGTAAACTATATGAAATTATAAAGAATAAAGTAACTATAAGTAATATTAACAATATACTAACAGTATAACATGGAATTAACATTGTACTTTTATTTATTTAAATTTCCCTTATTTTCAAATCTCATTGATGACAGTTTTGACTCCTCTGTAGCCCACTCTCCCTCTCAATACCCCCCTAAAGCCCACACAACCTGCCTGAGCTTTCCAGAACAAAAAACGGCTACGTCATTGACTCAGGATGCCTGTGCTCCATTATCTCTTAAATATTTTTGCTATAGCCTTTTTTGTTGCAGTTTTTATAGTTGAAGTAAATTTGTTCTGTTTTTGTAGTTTATTCCGCAGGAAAGCTGTATTTGTTTAGCTTTAAGATGTTCGCAGTAACCAAGCAAAGGCTGCTATGGTTCAAGTCTCTAAGACAGAGGGAGTGGAATTTGTTGCCCATGTTTCCTGCCAATAAAATAACCAGTTGTCATTTCATGACGCTTTATCATCTGTTAATTTTAATACTTAATACATTGTTTTTAGATAAATATACAGTATACTGTATAATGCTACATGATAAATAAAAGGCTTCAAATGGACCTGGTGATCGGTGTTTGTGTTGTTTCCAGTATGTATAGTCACTTTCTGTTTGTACCATTCATAGACAAACCAGCAAACAGAACAAAAAAAACAACCTTCATCCACCATATCTCAAGTGGCACGGTCAAGTGTGTGCTCCCATTCCTGGCTCAGCAACACCTGTGTCCTGTTAAGAACCTAGGTTAAGAACTCCGGTGCCAAATTGACAGTGCCACTGGCTTCCCCTGATGGCGGGAGGTTTACCAAAAACAAATTGTAAATATTTAATGAAAATGGCTCTCACACCCATCCCTGTTTATTTTTTTGGTACACCACAATCTTACAAGTGGTACCAAACCATGCAGATAGTTTTGGTTTTATTTACCATGATTGTCAAATATCCACCGCTGACAATTGTGCTGCCAACCCAATACAATGGAAGTAAATAGAATTATGTCTGTTTGTGATTAAAACTCATTTTGCAAAATTCAACAGAACAATGCCTTTCCATAAAGAGTGTCCTTATTTTATTATGCCTTTATGTTGTTCGTGTTCTTGAGCAAAAGACTGAAGCCCTTTGTGCTGTTCTGTAGCTGTCTCTGACATTTGACCTCCTGTGGAGAGGGGAATGGGAGAGGATACATTTCTCCCTCATGGATCAATACAGCATTAAAGAGCCATTGTTAAAAGGTGGTGAGCCTGCTGGCTCAGAACAATGAATTGCTTTAATAAAGGCACAACTTCCATGTTAGACTATATGTGAGACTCGCACCCTGAATCCTCACATAGCTCTCATCCAGAACACTCAAAAGCAACAAACCATGCTGCCCACCTAAGCAATCACATTTAATAACGTCAAATGTGCTCCCTGGTTTTGACAACAGCCCCCATAGCACGATTGAAGATTAGTTAATAATTCAGAGTTGTTGGAAGCATTGTAAGGGGATGGTGGTCTCTGCTGTTCGCCTTCACAGCTGCATGGGGCCTGCCGGTGACAGATGGCTCAGCCCATGTGAGGAGTTTGCTGCCAGTATAGCCCAGTAGAGTGTTGGACTCTGATTGCGTTTGTGTCTCTTTCTCTCTACATGCTCATCTTGTTCATACTCTTTGTCATTCTCGCTCCCTCATTTCAGTGCGTGCTACAAACAGCAATACCCTTGTAAGAAGAAGGGAAATAATGGGGGGCCAAACCATGGGCATTTTCAGTTCTGTGTCTGTCTTTATCACTGCGCTTTTGCTGTTAGATGAATGCTTTGAAACGCTGTGGTTTAGTCAATCATATGTTTCAGTTATCGACTCACTTTAAGTTTATCACAGAATGTGGTCTCTTGCATAGTTTAGTAAGCTATTCCTCTCCTGATACTCCAATGCAGGGTGTCCAGGTGTCGCTGAGAGATATTTTAAGTTCTCTGAATGGGAGCAGTCCCCCTCCCTTCCCACGGTAGTCGGCTAGAGGACAGCTTGGTGCTACCTGTTGGAAATCACAGCAACAGCAGGACATTGCAGCCATTTTGTACAGCCTGTCCGAGCCCAGTTGACACTGGGCTTGTGGGGCCTGTGCAACAATTTATGTTTGAGATCCTAACTGTTTTCTACTACAGAAACATTAGCTTCTTACTCTGTAAGAGATGGTAACAGATGAGTAGGATGTAAGATGTATTTAAATTAAGAAAATGTAAGCATAGTGTGGAATGTGAGGCTCACTTATGGATTGTTTCCTACACAAAATAAATGATGATACCATGTGTTTATTCTCTCACTAGAGTTGGTTGTTATCTTATTTTTATCTTTCAAAGCACACGTTTTTAACATGTTGCAGAGCACCGGAAGAGAGACATTTGAAGCACAAAAAATATTTAATATAAAAAAATAGTGTAATCATTATATCACACATAATTTGTGAAAGATCTTACTGTATGTTCACAGCCCTGTCTGCTCAGCTGTGATATTACTCTGCCAGCTCTCATGCTGTCTGTGCTGAGTATTGTAAACAGTCTGCTCAACAAACAATAAAGAAACTGACTTGAAAACTAATTCTGACAGACTTATAGACGTTGAAATGTATGTTTTAACAGTTGTGACACATTTCTTTCAAGGCTAACGTGTGAATCCCATTTCTAATTAACTAGTTTGATATGATTATTATTATTATTATTATAAGTGGATTATGTGACATGTCATTTTTAGGCATCCATTCACAGGTATTGTAAAACATTTTAATACTTTTTCTGGACTCCTGTTTAGTGATGTACATTTCACATTTTTTGTAATTATGTAGTTGTTTAGTTATACCAGGGCATTTTGATGATGTCCTATGTCCGGTCTTTTTGTCCAACCAGAGTTGCCGGAGAACTGGACAGACACCAAGGAGACTCTGCTGGAGGGAATGGTGTTCAATGTGAAATACCTGGGTATGACCCTGGTGGGCCAGCCCAAAGGAGAGGACATGGCCTCAGCTGCCATTCGCAGAATTGTAGCCACGGTGAGTCACTGGTCCCTTTCTGACTCATACAGCCTTATAATGGATGTTATATTGACTCTGACATTTTATGGTCACTTCTTGACGAATCTTACATACTACCCTTTGATTATCAGAAGTACTAGTGCTTATACAGTATATATGATTGTACTGATTCTGATATTTGCAAACAATATTGCATACAATTCTGTGGGCAAGCTCAGCACCTTCAATAGCAATGTGAAATTTCAAGAGTGACATTGTGAAGATTTCAATTACAGCGATGCTTTTTATAGAAATTCTCTTGTGGATTTGTGAAATTACAGCCTCAAACTGCAGTGCACATTATCTGAATGACTTGAAGGTGACTGCTTGTCAAATTTAGATTTTAACCATGTTATTCTGATTACCCAGGACAGGGTGATCAGTTATGATGAATTGGTTGCATTGCTTGTCTACAGTATAATATAACTTGTGGTATAGGCTAACTACAGACAATGAAAGAATATAAGATGCCCTATATGTCAGAACTTCAGTCAGTCACAGCTCAGCAAAACTCATGGCCAGAAAACCATTGTGGTCACTGTCATAATCAATTAAATTCAGTGTTCATGGATCGGTGTGACCTTTCAAGTTAGCATGTAGGACAAATAGTCCATTCTGAGGGAAAAGTTTAGATTGAGATGTTCTGAAAAATATATATAAACAGTGCACCAGAATTACTTTTAAACTGAGTAATTAGTATCATTCACCTTCAACTTTGTCTTATTCTCTTGGCAGTTATAGTTGGGTCATGTTTATATCAAGGTCAGTAGGGCAGCATGGTAACACAGCTGTTAATCTAGGATTATCGAGGGCTGCACATGTGCAGCAGTGAAATTAGTGATATGTTGTGTACTTAACAACACAGAGTCGCGCAGGGGATTTCTGAGCACAGTTTTCTGCATCAGTTCAGAATCCCGTCAGTTTTCATAAGACCGTTTTGACAACTGTTTTAAACCAGTGAGTTTGTAGATGTACAAAACCCAATTATTTGCATGTTTTAATGCACACAAACGTATTTCCTCCTTATTTTTCTTTCATGCTCTCTCACACACACACACACACACACACACACACACACACACACACACACACACACACACACACACACACACACACACACACACACCTTTTCACTGAACACCGTCAACAATAAGAATGTCTAATCTGTTTCTCTGCAGAAAGAAAAGCCTGGCACAGGCAGCCTAATCATAAACCTCCCACTTCTCAATTAGAGACTGAACCGAACCTAATGGCAGGATTAAGATTCAATTGATTTACACTAGGACCGAAAAAAGCTAATCGGTTGTCTCTGTCTGTTCCCTTGGTAACCAATCAACCTGAATGGGATTACTGAATACATTTGTGACTTTTCCATTGGATACATGCTTCAGTCAGGCATGATAAGACAAGGCAGAACATATAGAGAAAGTGGGGTATCTCAAGCTGGCAGATTGGTTTATGCCTTGTGGCACAACATGAGTAACATAACAGAAGAAATGTGGTTGTTAGCACTTCCTACATGAATGAGAGCTGCCACAGTCAGCCTGAGCACCCTTTTCCTCACTATTATAATATTAGTTTCCCATATTGCAAGTGCTGTGGGTTTTAACAGAATGTGTTGTTGTTTGTCACCATCTCCAGGGCATTCAGGCTCCTGTAGCAAGCCAAGGCATCATTCCTGTTGTCCTTCAGAAGTCCTAGATTTTGTTCAAGCAAATATCCCACTCCTTTTCATCCTCAGCTTCTCTTCAATGTTTATTTCACCTCCTGCAAAAATGAAAGTGCTCTGGTGCCGGGTGAATGTAGAAATGTGCGGTAAATGATGAAATAATTTCTTTTATTTTGCCATCTTTCTTCTGTATTCACATTCAGTCACTGATTGTTAACCTGATGATATTTGGGTGGGAAAAATAAAACTGCTCTTGTTTGCTAGCTAATTGCATGTTAAGAAGGTCATTGTCAACAGGCACTGTCACAGACCGCAAGCTCAGCACTATGGCCGTATTTTGTGAAACTCCAGATGGAACAGAGCGGCAGGGGGAGTCGGTGGCTGCCAGCCCGACCTCGAGTACTCGTTCTGGGCAACACACTGCAGCTTTCATCCTCCCCGTTCTGTCACCTTTTATAAATTTCCCACATTTCTGGGACAATTGCTTTTAGGGTTCTTTGTGCTTAATCAGAAGTAAGATCATCTTATATTTATGTCAGAGTGACAGGCTAGCTCTGTCTGTACCCGTGGTAAGATTTTGATGTTCTCTGATTTTAAAATGTGTGTGTATATATGTGGTTTTTTTATATTTCATATCCACAGGCCAGAGCCAGAGCTAAGAAGTTTCGGAAAGTGACACTGACAGTCTCACCGAAAGGTATCATCATCACAGACACAGAGACCACAGACCTCATAGAAAATGTCTCCATATACAGGTAAATAAAAAGTACAAATCAAATAGATTTTAAAGAGAAACCTGCACAGTGGTTGGAAGCATTCTGTTTTTTGTTTGTAGTCCGTTTGTAGTATTGACCACCTGCATGGAACCAAAGCCTACACAATCATGATTGAACAGTCCATGTGGAGAGCAAAAGAGGAATATTGGCCGTCGCCCCCAGTGGCTAAATCGTTGTTAGATGATAGCTGATGGGTTCTGAGAAGAGGCCTATTGAGACAAACACTCCAGCCAACCTGTTCTCACTCCCAAGTCGTCACATATGGTCAAGATGTGTAACGTAGTGGGGGATCCTCATAGCTTCATAGTTAAACGAACAGGGGAAGCCCTGTAGCCTCAGCTTTGGACGGCAAAGGTAGGTATGTGATATTTAATAGAAGGGACAGTAAGCATGCCTAGTCTTCTGTGCTTTAGGCCATAAAAGGAAAAAAAACTACACAAATAGTTGTTACTGGTTAAGTGCAGTAAAGTTAACTTTAAAATCCACTACCACACTTAAAAGTTTTGCCCTTTTCAACCTCAATTTTCAGAGTTGTAAAACTTTTTGCCACATATTCGCACACTAATTTTCAGATCACCATTTACAAGGGTTCAAACCTGGAAAACAAACTAATACACTGGGACAACACTGACAAATTTGAAACTCAACATCGTATAAATTTGTTTGCGCAACATTGTAAAAAAAAAATGGTGCGGTTCTGAAGTAGGACAACTCAAAAACCACATAATGTTTGCAGAGATTTTATTTTATTTTTTATTTTACATTTTGCAAGCCTGCAAATCTTAGTTTTCGATCTTGCAAAACTTTTTTTGTAAGATTTTGAGTTTTCAAACACTTATTTTCAACCTTTCAGAACTTTATTTTCAGTTTTGATACATGGCAGGATATTTATTTTATAGGTTATTTTCAGCTCTTTTCTCGCTCATACGTGGCTGTTAAATAAACAGAAAATATGAAAGGCCTAACGGTAGATGACACACGGTGTAACGTTACGTTACCGTGACAGCAGTGGGGAAGAAATTACTTTTAACATGAAAGCAATGAAGAAATACTTAGAAAATAAATTTTAAAGGACTTCTTGTCCTCATGCTTATAATGTGGCGTGCTTGTGTGGAGACAGAATGTAAACACATTTTGCAGGGTTTCTGTCTAGACAAAGTGCTCCAGAAAACTTTCACTTCACGTGTTCATGCTGCTTCACGTATTCATGGACAGCAGTGCTGCAGTGAAGCTATTTCCAATTCACAGAGCTCGCAGAGCAGCACGTTGTTGAGTGTCTGTCTAAAATACTCCCAAAATTTATACGGTCGAAGGCGCGGTGTTGTAGCTGGAGCTTGTCCGGGGGAATCCCTGCTAACACCGGATGCAGCGACACTTCAACGCACGTAATGCGACTTGACGCATTTACGTAATCGATTACGTTGACTACGTCAATAAATCACCTCAGCCCTAGTAACATGGTATCAGCTTTTACATGTTACATGTGGTAGAGAACTCATTTAAGGTCTACTGGCATCATGCAAATAATGGCTCATGAACAAAATTATTGCTATTCCATTTTGTTGTTTTATTAAACTGTTATGTTCACCTATGCCTGACAATTCGGGTAATCCTTCTAGTCGAGTCCTAAAAGCAAATCAGTGGCTGCATCTGATGATGAAGATACTGATATCATCTATCTAGGTCACTTTCCCTTTCTGTCCATAGCTTGGGCTCCTTTTTCTGGATTAAACCAAGCAGTTCTCTGCTCAGAGCTGTTGTGAGTCTCATGTTTGATCAATTCACACGGAAACCAATAATGGGAGGGCAGGGGGGTTGCTGGGGGGGGGTGCCTGTTACTGTCTCTCTGTGTCAATGAAAGGGACACAGAGAGCACCATGCTAGGTTTCATTCTACCAAATCATTGAAGTGTGTGTGTGTGTGTGTGTGTGTGTGGATTGTGATATGTTTGGCTGGCTGCCCCTTCACTGGATAGCAGCCTGTAATGTAGACTGGGTCTCGTGTCATTTAGGATTACAGTCTAAATATCAAATGGCCGGACTGTGTTTACAGAACAGGCCGTGATAAAAGCAGGGTGTGTGTGTGTGTGTGTGTGTGTGGAGATACACTACATGTGGTTGGTGTGTGTGCGCATGGGTCCGCATCCCCTTCTGATCCACCTTATCAGCGGTAACAGACTACAGGCCAGGGGAATCAGCCTCGTCTTTGATCTCTTTCTCTTCTCTCCTTATCTTTCCCCTCCTCTCCTTCCCCCTTTCATTTTCACTGTCTAGAAATATGTCTTTCTTTTCTGCTCATATTAATATAAACAGAGCTCTGAACACAGGAATATCCACAACTAATTGCCTACTTTGAAACTCAAGCCGCCAGTCTTTGCCAGTACTCCCGAATGATGATACAGGAGAGATTGAAGGGCCTCCTGAAGAGCTTTGAGTTGACTGAGGATGGATTTATCCCCTTCATGAGACCGCACCCCCACCTCCACCACCTCACAGCCCCTTTTCCCTCATGCCCCTCCTTTCTTGTGTCTTATTTTAGTTGCACATAATCCATTTATTGGCCAGGAAAGCAAGCGAAGGGTGAAAGAAAGTGTAGATGCAAAACAATGTACCAAATCAGACTAGAATTTATTGTGCATAACAAGCAAGGGAGAGAAGAGTCAGTTAAACAAGGGGTGTGTGTGTGTGTGTGTGTGTGTGTGTGTGTGCGCGCGCAGATGTCCACACATTGATGGACATATGAGCATGTGTGTAGTTATTTGTGTGTTCACACTTAGTGGAAGTCGGGCTGTTTCCCTCAGGGGATGCTTAGTGGGGGATAGGAAACGGATAGGAAGGCATTGTGCATCGTGTTGGAAATGGAAGCCATGACTCTCCCACCCCATCCACCCACACCTTCCCACGCACATACACACACCCGCCCACACACAAACAATGCAATATCATCCTGTATCAGTGGCACTTGAGTTTTCACAGTATCACAACCTGATATTGAATTCAGCAGCCTTGACAACCGCTCCGTTCCTGACAGCACACTTTACAGTGCATCTCATTTGCAGCATCAGACATTCAAGTTATGTTGTTATGAGCCTGATCTTCCAACATGAGCAAGTCTCCCTTGTAGTGCTATGGGTCTACCTGCTGGCAGAGGTTAGGCCAAGGACTACACCACAGGAGGTTAGATGATATTGTACAACAACAGTAAAGCTTCATTATTATGACAATATCAAAGAGCAGAGTGTTTGTTTGATGCAGTATCAAAATATTTCAATATTTTACAGATTGCTATCGAAGCTTAAATATATACACAGAAGAATGTTGACGTGTGGAGCCATTTGCCCTTCATTTTACTGGAGCAGTCAATAAAGACAAATTTTAGGTAACTGTACAATCGGATGGTCAGAGTCCCGCATGATATCTACTCTCATGTAATGATATAGAGTTTTTGACACCAGAGCCAGCCGTAAATTATCTTAGCTTAGCATAAAGACTGAAAGCAGGGGGAAACTGCAAGCCTGGCTGTAAAAAAAAATAAACAAACTGCAGAATCTAAGTTAACTGTCTCCTGCCACCAGCTCCTTACTTGATGCACAGACATGAAACACTAATGGAATAAGCAGCATAGTTCCTAAAATGCCAAATTTTTCTATAAAATGGAATATGTTACAGCAGAAAAAAAAAGTACTAATATAAATGTTAAACAAATCTTTACATTTCATAGGTGTGTGAAAACCAAACAAATTGTGTATTTCCTGTAATTACATTTGTTCATACATATCTCCGAACATGTGTTGTACACAGTAGCTTGTTTGGTTTTCAGTATCAAAAATATAAAGGCAGTGAAACGTGAACCTCCCAATAAGCACAGCATCGTGAGGTGTCGAGCTGGCATCCAGACTGGTGTTACTGATTCATATTCTGACCAGAGCTCTCAGAACAACCAGCATATCGATCAGCAAAGCATGCGGGTCAGAAAAGGGGAGCTGGAACTATTGTGTGCACCGCTGACACTCCACCTGGTAATGATGCACATTGTAATAAGATTAGAGATCCCTAACAGCGCGATATACACGACATGCCAGTGTTTTAACATTCCTGAAAATATCTTTTTGATCTTGCCGTTTGTTTGAGAATGATGAAAAATGTTTTGATGAGCGCTGTATTTCATTATTAATGTCTGGTAAAAGCTTTAAAATTAGTCCATGGTTGTGTTAAACAACGTACCTGCTTTACTAGAGAATTTGAGGCTTTGATGTATGAAGTTCTATTCAGGGTTTGTACTGTAAATATTTAAATATTTCCATTGATATTCCCTCTCTTCCTCACAAACACCGGTGCTCTACACAGTGAGGAGATCAAAGGCTTGCTGTCTACAGAGCCCCTTTGGAGATATGATGCAGACTGACAGCTCAGCTTCTGTTGTTCAAGCTTAGTGAAAAACCTCTGCGATGGTTTCTATTATTTATTTATTTCTGTTGTTGTTTCAAGCTGAAGGCTTATTTTGTGAATATGATCCATTGTGTGGTACATTGGTGGCAGTAGTTAAAACATTTTTTATTATGAGTGAAATCTGCATCTACATGGATTTGTTTTTAACTCTGTTCACGCACATGTTCATCACACTCCAAGTTACTGTGTCAAAGAGGAAGCTTGTATGTCTTTGCAAAAAAAGGTGAAATTTTAAATGTGTATTCACTCCAATGAGAGGTCTTTGTTCAGAAACACATTATTGTTACATGGATGCCATATTATAATGAAACCACTGTTTGATACATTCATGTTTGTTAAACTCTTGCTGTTGATAAACGGACACGGGATGCACATAGGCTAGTCAGACAGCCACTGCATGTGCACTGACCTATTTGCTTATTTTGCTTATGCTTAAAGCTGAATGTTCTGGGAAATCTGACTACATATTATTTACATATTGACAATGAACAGCGTTTGTTGTTGAAATGCATTAAAACTCTGTCTCTGTCTCAGAACTTGTAACTACCCCTCTCTACTGCAATATGTGATAAGAGAGAGGAGCCTGCTGAGTTCCAGGCATTGGCTGTTTACAGATTTTGTTTTGGGGTTGGACGATGTCTACAAAATTTCCATCGGACGATGCCTGCAATGAAACATCAGGATGGACATAGGGTGCGCGGGCAAAAGGGGGGCAGCTGACATTTTATGTGCATGTGTTCTCGCACAGACTTCCCTCGGTTAAAAAAAACAAAACAAAAGGTAGAGTAATAAGTTAAGTTACAAGTCGCAGTGGATTTTTTATGGACCAGGTAAAGCAGCAGTGAACACACAGGGTGCAGCTGTTGGTTTCAGTTCGTGCGGCTCACCTGCTGCCATGATATTGGGTCGCGGGTGGAAATATACGGGAAAAAGGCGACTTTATAAAACATACTGCTGATGGAGAAAATGGAGCAAGACGGGGGCGAGAGAGGCAGAGAGAGGCGGGCCAAGCCGGGGTGTTTACCTGAGGTGTAGGTGTGTGTGAGCGTGTCAGAGTGTGGGGAGAAGAGAATTTCAAGGCAGGTGCAAAGCATACTTGAAAACAATGATAAGAATGTTCATGGTCATAAAAACCTGATTTCAAAGGGTGGTATAATGTGAAAATTTGAGATTATTTTTTGCTGGGGGGCGGGGGTTTTACAATCATATGCCGGCTCAACGTCTTGATGTCTGTCAGCCATTGCCGATGGACAATGGCATTGTCTGTCGGCCCAAACCTATTTTGTATCTACCTTTTATTTAAACTTTGTATAGCATGTTTATGAGACCTTTAATAAGAACTGTGACAAGTTATAAAAATAACCAAAATCAAATCAGCTTTTGAATAACTTTTTTGCAGAAGAACTTTTTCACAATGTGTTTTAAATTTTTTTTTTTACGGTCTTTTTTGCTTTAAAGCATTGATTCCCTAAATGACAAGAACACTTTAACTTCTTTAACTTCACTACAGTTACTGAATTAATTGCTATTGGTAGTACTGCCGCTGTAATACTGCTGCCAATACAACAATATGAATTATTCGGATCTACTGTATTATACTTTATTATCATTAATAATTTATACAGTGATTCTAGAAAAACAAATTGAAATTCAGAGTGCACACACGCAGCAGGATGCAAGTCTGTCCACAGAAATAAGTGAAATTTAGGTTGCGCAAAATATAGTAAAGGAAGAAAGTAGATAATGTCTCAATAAGATGATAATTAAGTTTATATTGAGCAGTTAGTTACATCACACTTGTTTTCCAAACTTAAATAGGTCAGTGCTTTTAACTTTTTCTCCACTCTTTTTTTTTTCTGCAATTAAGGCCCAAATATAAGTTAGAACACGGGGGAAAGGGGGTAAATACAGAGCTGGGTGTCCTGGGCATTGCAATGTGGGTCATGCAGCAGTGGTGCAAGCCAGCAAACAATCTGAGAGAGAAATCTGAAGGCTGGTGATTTCGTCCTTGTTGTTTGATCGAATATATGACTTGCCCCTTTTGAATCAGCTGCAGACCGCTTTTCCTTACAGTGGACAAGTTACTGTTATGACAGCAGATTACATGGAGGTCCACGCAACATTGAGAGTAATCCTATGGTGTCTGACATGTGTGCAGAGATCTAGTCTAATTCAGATAGGATGATTTGATTTGTTCTGTTTCGAGAAAAATAACTTCGGCCAAGACAAATTTCTATACCGGGCATAATGAGAGTAAAAGCACCCAGTCTTGTCCTTGTGTGGCTTATTATAAAGGTTGTATGTTTAATACAAGTGACAAAGGTCGAGTGCATCACTCACTGGCTATTTACACATCTATTTAAAGCAACAAACATGACGCGCTCTGCTGGTTCAGGTAACAACATCAGATGGACATACAGGGTGACTCGAAATCGATACCCCTCGCCCCAAAAGCCTGCACAAAATCCGACAGAACAAATCCATCTGTTTTGTGTCTGTCGCTTCAGCGAATATATATGAGTTGTTGTGGGGGAGCAAAATGACTTTGTGGATTTTTAAATAACCATTGAAAATAACCAGCCATGGGTGTCACTGGATTTGCAGAGAGTTGGATTTCTAGAAAACCAGATATTATATGAGAGATTCAGTGTGACTATTGGGAATGAGGTCTCTTGTGCAATATAGTCATGACGGAGATCAATTTGTAATCCAAGACTTTCTGTTTCATACTGATGGTAAAAATTCAGATATTTCAACAGAAGAAGCAATATATTATATAATCATCAGGGAGGTTTCAGAAATGAACAGTTCTCGAATGAGACAAAACTCTGAGGAATAGCACACAAGTTACCCCACTACATTCAGTTCAACAAAAATTTCATTGTACCTCCATTATCAAAACACTTCACTGAAAATTTCAGGCTCAGATGACCCTTTAAGCCTGGCATTTAAAAACCTCAAATCCACAAAGCAATATTATATCAGCATTTGAACTGATTTTTGCATAATGTTGTGAAAATATGAAGGACTGAAGTGCTCGGTCACAGCTTCGAGCATCTCTCATGGATGTCACTGCTGCACGTTTGTCTCCTGCTCCACCATTCCCAGCTGTGGGACTTAATCAGTATAATATTCATAACCACCTCTCTTATCCTGTTATGATTGGTTTGCTTATGCATATGCAGTAGGTTGAGCACAAATGCAAAGTTATGGCCTAAATTGACATGTATGCAGCGTAGCTTACTTTGATGTATGAGGTTTGATTAAGAGTGCAAGCTAGCAGCTAATGTACTGTAACTGTGTTCTTTGTTCTGCATGTGAGTCCTGTGATAAAAAAGGATGTTTGCCATAATACATTCATGTCACAAATTAGTTCCTGTCTGGTGCAATTGTGCTTTCATCATCATAAATGCACTTATGTCAGGTGGATTGATAGTGTTGGTAAAAATCCCCCCCCCCATCTCTTACAGAATCTCGTACTGCACCGCTGACAAAACTCAGGATAAGGTCTTTGCATATGTCTCTCAGAGTCAGTTCAGTGAGACCCTGGAGTGCCATGCATTTCTCTGCCAAAAGAAGAAGATTGTAAGTGTGCAATTTTGTTGCATTTACCTGCGTGTATATCTGTATTTATCCTCATATATGGAATACATGCTCTATGACATTAGCAGGCCATAAGGTCAGTGTTTGGGGTACTGAGTGCACGTGATGAACTGTAGCATAAGTGTAGTTGGTGTGGGGCTCCATCTTGTGGCAGACTACAGCCCACTAATCTGTATCGTATACTGTTAATCTTACCAGTGTTGAGAAATTGTAATATTATAAATAGAAATAATTTAGTTTATAGAAAAAAACTGTTCAACTGTTAAACTTATAAATCTAATTATCACTGTAGATGGGTAAATAATCAGACTAAAAATGTTAAAGCAAAACATTTTCTTGACCACCAAATTAAATCACAGCTATTCATGTTTGATATTTTACTCTGTTTCATTACTGAGTCATTCTTCCCCTTTTCTTTCCAGGCTCAGGCTGTGACATTAACAGTAGCCCAGGCATTTAAAGTAGCCCTCGATCTTTGGGAGATTGCTCAGGAAGGTGAGTTTACTGAACTTAACGAAGGTGACATGACACAGTTCAGTGAAGTACAAGTAAGGAAAGGCTGTGATCCATCCAATCTGCATCCAATTTGCAACTTGTTTATTGTTGAAATGAATGTGTGTGTATAAAGAGAATAAACAAATATGTAAACAAATGTGAAATTTTAGACATCTGAAAATAGTAATGAATAAAAGCAATATATGAGATAAACAAGTATGAATAATGACATATGATGACGAAAATGAATAAAGATGAATAACTTTTAACTTTTTTAAGTCCAGCAAAACTCCTCTGAACTAGGGACGAAAAGATGAGACAGCAGTGTCCCCCTGAACGGCCGCAACTGAAAGAGGGGAGACTGAAAACTGTCTTTTTAATTGACCCTTTGCTAAGCCACACCCCTAATACACAGCTGGCCAATCACAGCGCAGTATAGGACTCGCTCTAACTGAAGTCCGACACTTTAATGGTTGCGCTCCATTGACTCTAATGTAAAAATCTTTTTTAGGCTGTATTTTTCTAAGATATGGTCAAATGCTGTTTCTGGGGCACTTGTAATAGTTACAGTCACTACCCAGAGAGGTTGATAGAAGAAGGCACTGTTTACTTTAGGGTAAGTAAGAGTGTAGCAATAGACTGTGGCAGCGCCGACAGTTCGTAACTAAGGGGGGCGGGGCTTAGCGAAGGGTTAATTGAGGCACTTAATTGCTGAAATGTCATTGTTCCAAGGTGACATGAGGGCCGCATGCACAGCGCCACAGCTTGCACATGCATGTTAGATGGTGCAGTCTATGGGGAGTGGGTGACCTTCTGAACAAGAATTGTTTTGTTTTTTTCTGTCCACAGACAAAAGCAAGAAGGCCAGGACCTGCTGTTCTTGTGCAGCAAGCAACGGGCCAACAGAGACAACAGACACTCAGTGTGTTCCAGCAGGTGAGTTTGTTTGATTTTGTACTCATCCATAGTGTGTATATGTACATAAAATTAAGTGCAACGCCAGTGACGAGACATGACACATGTCTGAAGGCCTCTACCATCATCCCCATTCCCAAAAAGACTGAACAGCCTGAACGATTACAGACCCATCGCTCTGACGTCTGTAATTATGAAGTGCCTGGAGCGATCAGTCTCCCAGCACATCAGAGACTGTCTCCCTCCCTCATTCGACCCCCACCAGTTTGCCTACAGGGCAAACCGGTCCACGGAGGATGCCATCGCCCTCACACTCCACACAGCGCTTAGCCATCTGGAAAACAAGAAGAGCTATGTGAGGATGCTCTTCGTGGACTACAGCTCAGTGTTTAATACAATCATTCTGGACATTCTTTACAGTAAACTGACACAGCTACAGATCCCTCTCCCCACCTGTATCTGGATTAAAAACTTTCTCTCAAGCCGCCCACAATCTGTGAGACTAGGCCCCCACCACTCCTCCATACTCAGTACTGGTTCCCCTCAAGGCTGCTTTCTGAGTCCTCTGCTGTACGCTCTGTATACCTATGACTGTTCTCCAACCCACCCAACAAACCACATTATAAAATATGCGGATGACACCACAGTAGTTGGATGTATCCACGAAGGGGACGAGATAGCGTACACGGCAGAAGTGAAGGATCTGTCGCACTGGTGCTCAGACAATAACCTGACCCTTAATATCCCTAAAACAAAAGAACTAATTTTGGATTTCAGGAAGCACAGACAGGACTTACACCCCTCTCCTCATAAATGGAAATCGGGTGGAAATGGTCACCACCTTCAGGTTTCTTGGCACTTACATCTCTGCTGACTATTCCTGGACCCATAACATCAGGGCCCTGGTCAAGAAGGCTCAGCAGAACAATCTGGACATGAAGCTGCTGCTGGCTTTCTATCACTCCTCTGTGGTGAGCGTCCTAACACACTGTGTAAGTGTGTGGTACGCAGGCTCCACAGCTGAGGACAGGAAGGCGGTACAGAGGGTTATAAACACTGCCCAAAAGATCATTGGCTGCCCTCTGCCCAGCCTGTAAAACATCTCCATATCCTGTTGCCTCAGGAGAACCAAAGCCATCACAAGAGACCACTCACACCCTGCCTACCCCCTGTTTGATCTGTTGCCCTCGGGGAGACGTTACAGGTCAATCAAATCTCCCACCAGCAGGCTGATTGAACCGAACATCGCAGAATGTCTTGCTGATAGTTACTACCAGGAAATTTACTTCATCTTTATCTTACCCTAAAGTAAACAGTGCCTGTTTTTTCAAAGTATTGTTTATCAATGTAAGAACTAGCAACACACAATTAAATGAACCATATAATTCTTTACATATTGGAAAGGGGGGGGGGGCAGCTAGCCTGGCTCTGTTTGAAGTAAACAAAATCCATCTAC